GGGACGGCGGCGGGGTCCGTGATGGTCGCCATGACCTCGTTGATGAGCTCCATGGGGATGTCCCCCACCACCCGGGGCCTCTTGTTCTCTTCATGGGAGAGAGGCTCCGAGGGTTTCCGCTTCTCTCCGACTATTAACCCTGTAATGCCAAATGTATCCTATTTGATTCATACGGTTTCTGAAATCATTTGAGTCTGACTCCTTTTGGATAATTTAATGCTAAAAACTCAAAATTCTATTGTACACAATCAGATACAAATGATAACAGGGGGGCAGAAGACTACACAAAAAATAATCTTGACTTATCGTATAGTAATAAATTATTAACTCATTGGCTGCCAAAGACGTCTATAGACGTCTTTTATGTTTTTTAACGAGAGTGGCTGGGGGACGATCTGCTAAAGCTTTTCCGTAAATATCAGGCTTCTAGACAGAGTATGTAGTAACAAATTGACCCTCTAGGGGGCAGTGCCACTTTTGATGGGAGATGAGCATAGACTGTAGGCAAATAAGAAAAAGGTAACGGTTCGCTATGAGAGAACATGTCGCCGGTGAGACGCAAGTCGAGGAAGAACCGAATAAGGTAGAAACAAATTTCTTTTTCCTGATGAAAGAAGAGAGTCTACTCTTTCTTTTGGTGTGTTCGGTGTTTACATAGTCAGAGCACAAACTATTCTGTGGCTCTTGAAAAATCTGTCAAAATGCTCAAAAAACTAAGTATGGGACTCTCTGTCAGTCAATGAGTTAATATTGAACAATTATTTTTGTTTTTTCTTTTTACATATTTTGTTAAAAGGCCAAATAAGGAATTCAAACCAAAAAAAAAGGAATTTTCTGTTTTGTTTTGTTTTATCCTTGGATCAGACGTTAAAGGGTTAGGGACAAATTAGGGACGCAGAAACTGGCTGTGAGAGGCCCCTCTCCCCCTAACCCTAACCCTAACCCAAACCCCCCCCCAGGGTTTTCCCGTCCTACCTGGGTTGGTCTCCAGCGTTCCCGTCTGTTTCCGGGCGGGACTAGGGCTCCCCCCGGTGGCCGGGTCCACGGAGGCGGGGCTGGTGCTGTAGTACAGCGGCCTGCTCACCGGGGGGGCGCTGATCACTGCGGGGGAGGGGGGAAAAAGGCCTCAACGCCCAGAAAAGGAAACCAAAACTCACCCAGACAGGTGCGTCTATAGGGGGGGGGGCTTACCTGTGTGGACGGGGACCTGCCCTCCGGACACCCCCACCAGGAAGTCCTGGCTCCAGATGGGGGAGCTGTGGCTGTACACCTCCTCCTCCAGCATGGACAGGAACCTGGGCACGGAAACACCGGTCACACCCCGGTTTTAACCCCCGTAGAATGTCTTCTGATGACGTTGTAGCTTTAGTTTCTACTGATTTCTACTTCTAGATGACTGAAATCTCATCCATCCACAACAATATTAAGTGGTTGTGAAACTCTTATTTTATAAACCGGCTTCTTACTCGGGTGTCTAAATCAGTTTTTTCCTCACTCCGTAAAAAAAAAAGGATTGAATAAACCGAATCCATCCATCCATTATCGTTACCGCTTATTCCCTAATGGGGTCGTGGGGAGAACTGGAGTACCCCAGTCCATCGCAGGGCCACGCACAGAGACACACAAGGACCAACAACCACACACACTCACAGTTTGGAGTGTCTAATCAACCTAACATGCAGGTTTTTGGACGGTGGGAGGAAGCCGGAGAACCCGGAGAGAACCCACAGACACAGGAGAACGTGCAGACTCCACCCAGAAAGGTCCTGGTTCCCCCGGGGACTCCAACCCAGAACCCTCTGGTCCTGGTTCCCCCTGGGACTCCAACCCAGAACCCTCTGGTCCTGGTTCCCCCGGGGACTCC